CCCCCACCCCCACCCCCACCCCCCCACCCCCACCCCCACCCCCACCCCCACCCCCACCACCCCCACCGGGGGGATAATGATGAGCAGGACATTGTTTTGTTTGTGGGGACTCATGGTCACCCTGGTCAACTTGCAAGATTGCAAATATTATTCTGATGAAGGATGATCATGTTTGGTATTCCTCGCATTCTGATTTCTAGTCGTATTCTAATATTATCATGATTTTTTTATGACTCTTGATATCAGTTTGTTGTCTCTATTTCTACGAAAAACCTAGTCGTGTTCCTGGTGGTCTTACATGTCCTTATTGTACTTTTCAGTTGACATGACAAGAAGGTACATGTTCTCATTGTCGTCCTTGCTTTGCAGATGGGGGGGCTCTCCCACTGTTTTCTGAAAAGCAGAAGCAGCATCTCAGAAGTGCAGTCTCAACTGAGCAAGCCGTAAGCCAGAGCAATGCCTGGAAAGTCAAAGAGCGGCTCAGCAACCGCATGTTCATTTCACCTATGCTTCAAGGTAATCATCACTCTTACCATTGCTATATAATGCTCTGGCTTTCGACTCTACTATCTAGTTCTTGCTCTTACTATTACTATTGTCATGGCGGCTGTAGCTTACATCTTATGACTGTTATCACGAAATTCAAATAAGTATTAATTACAATTGCAGTTTCCGTGACTGTAGACAGTTTTGCATGCTTTTATGCCGAGTCTTGTTGTGACATTCATTGTTCTTACTATTGCTTCACATTGCTGTACTAGTAGTATTGACACCCTAAGTAGTATAACGATTCCTGTTAAACTACGTCTCGCCTGTTGCACCCTGACATCTTGGCTCGACATATTGTTGTTGCATGAAACATGCTCACATCTTGCTTGAAAATCTGCCAATATGCACCGAAAGCATCGTCGCATTGCTTGATTCATCTACGAATTTTTGTTCGAAATCGAGCTCTCGCGTGGAGCGTTCTCACGTTTTTGCACGAAATGGTGTTCATGCATGGAGCATCATCACATTCTTTAAGGAATCGCACTTTCGTGATGCTCTCGCCTGCGCGTGTGCTGGGCAAAAATCATCGTGTGCTGTCATCGTCACTTTTTGGGTCTTCCCGGCCCTGTCAAACAGAACGAATTCCGTGTCCCAGGATGAGGGCAAGAAGAAGGAGGAGAGGGAGGACGTGGAGGTGACCGGAAGAGTAGGAACAGATCAACGTTGACGAATGCTGGTGCTACTGTGCTGCTACCACCGCCTGTCCACAAGGACCCTGTTTGCAGAGCTCCATAAGAGTGGAGAAGAGTGGCAGAGACAGATACCCAGGGAAGAACAAGAATTGCCGGGATGGGCTCCTCGACTTTCGCGTGCGGCAGACCTCCAAAACTTCGTCCCAAGTGATATGAACCAGCACCTGATCAACAGCGTCTGTTTCACTGATGTTTGACCCTGAAGATCCTTGAAGCTTGTGCTCTGTTGTTTTGTGCCGTGGACTTTTTGTTCTCGTGTCAGTAGATTCCGGGAAAAGGGGAAGCCTCCAAAGATGTCAGCGTGTAACATTTCGGTCTGGTCACCAAGGCAGACAGTAATGGCGACGCATGCTGAAAAGCAGTCGAGGGCTAAACTGCATGCGAGCGTTGCTGAGAAATTTCTGGCCGTGGTTCAAGACTGAGGTGCCCTCCGGCGTCTTCGTGCAGTGTTACATGCATCGTTCAAAAAAGCCAAAGCTTCGTGACATGTTATGCGGATGTATCTGCAAGAGGGCAAGCTGAAACCCGGAGGCAAGTTCAGCATGAAGTAGGCAGTCACAGCCAGGCAGGTGTCGTGCACTTGCTGACAGGAGCTGAACCGGACGATGCTGCAGAAGGAAGTATCGGAGAAGGCGGCTCATGCATGCTTGTGATATCGTATCACATAACCAAAGCTTCCACACCAAGAACTTCAAACACGCCAGCCATCACCAGGCGCTGGACCAGTCTTGAGCAAGCACATGCAAGCACAGCTGGAGTCCCTACAGTGCACTCCGAAGTGGACGGGCATTACTCTGTAGCAGTCGTGGCATCAAAGCTCGGGATTTTGGTTCGGCGATGTTCGGCGTATCTGATGGCTTCGGCTGATAACTACGCTCAGCGGCTCTATTCCCATACATGGATTGACTACGTTGTGGGGGCAGCAACTCTGCACAGCTTGAGGCATCATGAATATTTCAGTCGCAATATCAATCAAGCTACCTGGTTTTGCTGTTGGACAAGTGTCATTACCTTCACCTCCATCCTACCTGTCAGGTCTTGCGCAACACAAATCACGAGAAGAGGCAACTTCAGGATTGACCCTTGCTTTGTGCAGAGAAAGCTTCTCATGACTTTGAGCGTAGTCAAGTCCACTGAACGAAGTGCAATGCTCAGGGTTGAGTAGCGCATTGTCGCCACTAGATGGCACAGATCAGCTCTCTTGGCGATCTTGCAGGGGCATCATGAAAAGCTAACCAATCGGCAACAATCACTGCCAGCTGAAGCACTGGAACAAGCATGAGCAAACCTAAATGTATTGGGGCTGGGTCATGCGTTGGAATGCATTGGACAAAAGGTATTATGACGTTAACCGAGACGCTGAAGTTGCTTCCACTGCACGGCCATGTACAGCTCCATGCTGTTTCAAGCTCTCCCAGAAGTTGTTGCTGTGCCGCGAAGACATGGCGCATGTGCGGCGCGTAGTGCGAGAGGCTTGGAGAAGTGTGAGACAAGCGCAAGCTGCGCAAGTGCTGAGCTCCTTTTTTAGGAGCTCACGTGTGAGTGATGAGTGGAGCCATTTGCAACTTGAAAAAGAGCCAAGACCAACTACAAGAAGATTGTCTGAAGCAGAGAAGGAAGCTGCCAACGTGTTCTTTTCCACTGCTGCACATTTCCGAGGAAGGTTGGAAGCAGAAGCAGCAAGTCTTCTCGTTCCTGATAACATTACGGCTGAGCACCAAGGGTCGTATACATATTACCAGAGGCACAATGCTGAAGGGTTTTTGCTTTTCTGTCGAAAATATAGCGAGCCGAGTGATAGGCAGGTTGAAGAGGTCCTTCTGGACACCGGACAGTTAGCGGCCGAAGGCACAAACTATGCAGACGTTACTGCTTGCAAAGTTTCTGATGATGAGACAATGCTGGCGTACATTGTAGATTTGCATGGTGATGATTCCTTCGAACTGCGAGTACGCTCACTTCGCTCGGACTGCGAGTCAGCCACAGAAGCCCGCATTCCAAACATCCGCAGTGTGGAATTTCTTGAGTGTGCCCACGAGCACAGCCTCCTTGCAGTGGAAGTTGATCCAGAAAGCAAGCGCGCATGCCGTGCCGTGCACTTGACTGTAAGTCCAACTGCTGCTTGTTCTCGTAGGAAGCTATGGGAGGAGGAGGATGCGGCTGCATATTTGGAGTTGTATCGGACCAAAGATCGCCTGCACATCTTCGTCTCTTCAAACACGAAGGAGACTTCAGATGTTCGTGTTTGCAAATGCGGGGGAAGCTGCGAGACGCTTTCTCTGAAGCCGCTGCTTGTGAAGATTGCTGGCGTGGAGTATTTTGCTGAGCATCAGGATGGCTGGTTTTACATAATTAGCAACCATGAACGTCCAGATTTCAAGGTTTATAGGGCCTCCGCTGATGAACTTGATAGCACGAACGGAGCGTGGGCGTGTTTACAACCTTTTTTCACGCCACCGGGCCGCATGCACGTGACAGATGCTGACTTGTTCAGCAGATGGCTTGTGCTGTATGGTCATCAGTCTGCTGCCCCAGAGGTCTGTGTTGTTCCCCTTGTTGCAAACCATGGAAGCGGAAAGGAGGTGCAGCCCTACTTGGTCGACCTGCCCTCGCAAATTGGATCTGTCGAGCCCTGCACCAATGCAGACAGCAACGTGGAGAAAGTTCGATACACTTTTAGATCTCCAATAGAGCCAGGTTGCACCTATGAGCTTGATCTGGTCGAGAGGCGTGCAGAGATTGTAAGCCAGTGCAGAATCGACAACCCAGAGCTGCTGCAGTCCATGCAGTGCGACAGACTGCAGTTTCCTTCCCGCGACGGTACCTTGGTTCCTTTGACGCTGGTCCGCCACGTGGAGAGTGACCAAGGCCAAGATGGCCAAGGTGCCCCGTGCTTGCTTCAAGTGTATGGGTCCTACGGCACCTTCTTGGCACCTGATTTCTGTTCAGAGCATGTGGCTTTGTTGCGTCGCGGCTGGGTTCTTGCCTGGGCTCACGTGCGTGGAGGTGGTGAGAATGGACGCAACTGGCACTCGGCTGGCAGGCAACTGAGCAAAGCCAACTCCATCATGGATCTAGCGGATGCTGTAAAATTCCTACTCTCGCGTGGCATCGCGAGACCAGGTGGTGTGTGTCTGAAGGGATCGAGTGCCGGTGGACTGACCGTGGGTGCGATGTTGAATTCTCGCTCAGATGCTGCTCTTGTTAGCGCTGCCATTCTGGAAGTGCCATTTGTTGATGCACTTACAAGTATGATGGACCCTACGTTGCCATTGACAGTGCACGAGTTCGACGAATGGGGAGATCCTGCCACAGCAGAGCATGCTGCCAACATTCGCTCCATATCACCCTATGAGAACCTGGGATCACACTGCTATCCGTCAGTCTACATTTCATGCGCCTCCAATGATGCGAGGGCACCAGCCTGGATGTCGTTGAAATATGCCGCTCGACTGAGAGCTCGAAGCCCTGGCCTTCTGGAGTTGCGAGTCGCCCTCAGCTTTTGACATCTGATGTGCTGATTTGTTAAGCCGTGGGAGTCAGCTGTCATTGATTGACAATGTTGAAAACTACCAGTTCGTGGTGATCAATTTCATTTGCTCACTCACTCACTCATCCATGAATCACCTTCCTCTCAATCATGAGCAACTCTCTTTTCTTGTCTCCCTTCCCTTCCTCGCTCTCCCTCCCTCCCTCGCTCTACCTCCCCTCTACCTCCCTGAGCTCTCTCCCCGTGCCCTTTGTTTGCCTCCCAGCCTCCCACTTTTTACTTTGCAGAACCATGTCTTCATGCCAGTCCGACACAGGCAAGGTCTCTTGAGGAGGTTCCACATGAATTCGGCTATGCAGAAAGGATCGCGGCGTCGACCGGCTGGAGATGCCACAAAGGCTGGCAATGTCGTCTTGCACTGCTCTGATTCAGGTCATGCCGGTGCAATGGGCTGGCAAGAGAGAAGTGAAGAATTCAGCCGGCAAGTGACGTTTTTGCATGATGCGCTAGGCTTGAGCAAGATTTGATGAAGGAGGTTGCCAGTTAAAAACGGCTGCTGGTCCACTGTGGGAAGATGTGGAAGGGCAGGTCTTGCTAGCAGGAAATTCCGAAAGAACAAAAGCTTCCATGCCTGCGACTTGTGCTAGCAGTAGTTTAGGGCTCCAGAGTGAAAGCCTGGAAAGTGTTATGACCGGGTACTACAATCCTGGGTATGGGAACTCCCAAGGGCACCAGAACAGGACAGGACAGGATGGCTGCTGAAGCACTTGTGGACATACTGTGGTGGTTGTGGCGCATTTCCATCCGTATAACATGGACAGCAGAAACAGCTCACTGTATGGGACAGCATTGCCTGTGCTCACATCCTGGCAGCTGAAGGAGCAGCTGATGGAGACCATCTCTGGCTTTACCGAGGTAAGTCCGCCTTGCAATTGTCCTTTTTTGCTATTGAACTAGGGTATGGCCGCCTTCGTTGCTACTAGGCTTAAGCCTACCGCCCGTGCAGGTAATTGAAGGCCTTCAAGATCAGTGTGATGGCGCATCTGCTGCTCCATCTACCGATCGCCTGCAGGCTTGCCCTCTTCAAAGTGGTCTTTGAGGATTTGAAGCTTGATGGCGATCTGAATGTGATCAATAATCCAGACTGTTCATGACACATTGCAAGAAGATACATGGTCGACCGCCAGGTAGCTGAAGAATTGTGGACCAACAGGCTACCAAAACGATGTCACAACAAAAAGACAAACTGCTCGGAGCCCAATTTGTTAACCAAGGCCCTTTCGTGGATAAGCGGCCTCAAACCTCAAAAGAGCTGTGCCGACGCTTTGTTGCATAGCCGCCATAGCCCATGCCTCATCAAAGGTCAGAAGCTACGTGGGAACGGAACAAAACAACAACGAGACGACAGCATGACGACCATGCGACGACAAGACGGCGACTCCACAACGCGATGACAACGCACGACGACGGCTCGACGACCGCGCGGCGATTTGGTCGAGGAAGCCTGGTTTGGGCCAAAACCACGGCTTGTTTTGGCACGACGACGGCGTGGTGACGTCGCGCTGCCTCGCTTCGTCGTTGCGTCCCCCTAGCTTTCTCGTCGTGCCGTTGTCGTATAGTCACATAGTCGTCACCCTGTCGTCGTGTCGTTGCTGTCTTCGCGCGTCGTCTTGCACGTCATTCAGCACTCGTCACACGTGGGTCTCCACTAGGTTTTGGCGTACAGTAGCTTCCATAGCAAGTAAGCCACTCATCTTGACAGTGTAGGGTAGGGTCCCAACAAAATGCCAAATTGCAGGCAGGCATTCTGATTTGGAAGGTCATTATCTTGCGAGATGGGCCTGCTTGAGCCTCCCCATGTTTTCTTCAGTATGATGATGGCCACGGTTCAGGTGTTTGAGGTTCGGTTACAGTTGCAACGGCTCGTTGGATTTCATGCGAAGCACTAGCGGATGTATGCAAGACTTTGCGCGCATCACATGCAGCTACAATCAGTCAATGATAAGTCTGAAAGGTTGCTTGCAACTTACATAATCGACATGCAGGCAGGTATGACAGAGACTGGTTCCAGGACTGGACATTCGGTTCCTGTGGTTCCGGTTCGACATGGTTTGACCATTGTCCTGAAATTCGGCTCCTGCAACAGTTCATGAAAGCCTAATCTCCCCCCTCCCCTGTTATTCCACATCCTCGGTCGGATGACGTTATGCAAAGCGTCCCTGATCTCCGACATGCACCTCACAACCGTGCGTCTCAAGCAAAGAACGACAAATAACGACAATTAATTAATCCTAATGAGTTAGTGAAAAAGGATAAAAAGCCTTAGCTGGCTTAGCTTCAACGACGTGAAGTAGTTGTCGTCCTCTGATACCCTGATTACTGCCCTGTCGATGTCCCAGACATAACCTTCTGATAATGATTGGACGGCGGGCCCGAGTTCAGTGCAGGACCAGCTGAAGGATATCTCAGCTTCGAACCGGGCGCAGCAGGCCGGCTCAAGCACTTCAGAGGCTACTCTCTTGTTGCCAGGTCTTCACACACGTTGCAACATCCAATGCGCTTGCTCAGATGACAGAAGGACGTGGATCCTTATGACTCTCAGTACGTACATAACTGCACAGCAAGAGCTTTAACTGGGATGTTGGTGACGTTTGGCAGCGTCGCTCCTGACAATTGTCCTAGCACGAAGCGAGCAAATGTTCATGCTGCTTTGTTATGCTTCGTTGATAACGCACGGCCACGCTCTGCCTTGCCGACCAGCTGTGCAGGCTGAGGTGGAGTCGCTCAGGACTTGTGATGCCACGGCAATGAGTCAAAGATGTCTGTTTGGGGTGCATGTCAGAAACAGGATGCATCTGGACAAGCTCAGTGAGTCCAAGAAGGTGCACCAGAGCCGCAACGCATCACAACGCTCTAGCTGAGCATGGCATAGCATGGCAAGCCCACAACAGGCCGCTGAAGCTCGGTATCTCTCAAATGGCGCTGGCCCGGAAGCGCAGGCAGCTGTCTGTATTCGGCGTCTCTTCGGTTCCTCAGTAGGAGATCAATCTTGACCTCTAGGTGCACCAGCTGAAGGACGAACGAGACATGCTCAAGGCTGACACAACAGGGAATGTTTGTCAGGAAGAAGATTTGCTCTTCCAACTTGCGTTCCCCAGAGCGTGCACGCATACTTGTAAGTCCTCTTCTAGACGCACAGATGCATCCCGGCCGACATGCTTTTGGCTTGCCTGGAAGATAGCATCAGAGCCAGAACAGGACTAGCATCTATCTCGCATGAAAAGTAGCTCGTTCACGCTGAAAGCTTCCAGGCCACAGCAGAGCAACTACATGCAACTACACATCCAGCAGTTAGACAGCCAAGGGGGCCTTTTTGCATACCTCCTGCCCTGAGTTTGAGCTTTCGCAGAAAGGAAGTTACTTGCTGAAACACAGTAGTGACCACATTGCGCAAGAAGATCGGCATAGAGGGGCCCAAGCCAGTCAGCATCTTGCGAAGCAGGGCTACAAGGTCAAGGGAGGTTGTGGTGACGGTATTTGTTCCATTTCCCAGTTTTCTGCTGCTTTTTGTATTTAAGTGTCTGCTGCCTTTTTTCTCGCTAGGGCAAAGCGCGAAGGGAGAACAAGCAAACATGCAAGCCAGCGGACAAGCAAGTACAAGTAGGAGTAGTAGTAGCAGATGTAGCAGTAGCAGTACCCTACGCGCACTTAATCAATCGTGGATCCAAATGCGTATTGGGGGGTTGGGGGGTTGGGGGGTAATTACGTTCGTCTTATCTTAAATCCAATAGCAAAGTCTTATCTTCGTTGCTTCTGCTACTGCTGGTTGCTGCAAGTGTCCTGTTACAGCTAGACGTTCTGTTCCTCCACTCTACTGCTTCTGCTGCTGCTCCTTGCTGTTGTTGTGGGCTGCATCTCGAATTCTACAGCTGTCAGAAGCTCCACCAAGCCCTCACTCCCGATATACCCCGGGCAGTTTCTGGGCCATGGGCCATGTACAAATCTGGTGAGCGTTTGTCCAGAGTGTGGGCGTGCGTGCACACCGCACTGCTCCAACAGCGGTTTCCGAGATTCCTCTATGCTTTCCGTCCAACAAGTTGAAAGCCCCCGTTTCGTGAAAACAGCAATACCAAGGTAGCCCCCTGTCAACATCCCAATAAGAAATTCCTCATAAATGCGTCCAGCAAAGGGCGTAGTTCCCCTACAACGCTGTTAGAACTTACAACCTTCTAACGCAGTGGCACGGAAATGCTACTCAAGAATGTGGACGAAGTATTCTTGGTATGCAATGGTTGGCGCAGTATGACGGAGACGGGCAACCGCTCTTGCTGGGGCAGGAAGCGCTTCGAAATGTCCCTGTTTCAAACTTTGCCCATGGCCATCAAAAAAAAGTACCACAGCCCTAGACTGTCACTGCAACTCAACAGACGAAGATGATAGGAAGAAAACAGCAGCGCTGATGCCTTTCTTCATGTGCGCGAGGATAACCTGAGGAGGCGCTTGGCACGCATGGAGTCCAGCGAGCAGGAAAATTCTGTTTTTGCAGGCCGCCTCGAAGAAATGCAAGAGGTACTGGTTGCAGAACGGTGCCGACCTCACTCGACACATGGCCAATCATCCAGAGTGGATCGTGCTCGCGTGGGCTGGCAGTTCCAACGCCAGTCTGGAAGTCCTGATTGCTCACGCCGCAAGAATGGCCAAGAGATCTGCCGGGTCCTTTTTGCGCGGTGGCCGAACTGGACGTTTACGTGCACGTGTTCACCAAACACGCGAGGACATATGCTCGCTGGCTCAGGCAGAAAGAGCGAGAACATTATCTGTTCTTGCGTGCTGCGGGAAGTCTCTGCAAAACATGTGTACAAGCTTGCCTGGATCGAGGCGCGGACAAGTCCGGGGCACTTCGTGCGACTGCGTTTAGGTGGGCGCAGGAGGCTCACGCAGATGAGGGGCTGCTCCGCATGCTGAGGCCGGCTGGCGTCGTCCGGCCGCGTTCACAGACAGTTGACTGCGTGGACGCGGCGCCTGTGGCTTTTCGTGTCAAGAGGCCCATGAGTCGGGATGACAAGCGGCCAAGGCTGCATATGCCGAAACAGCATCCGTGTTATCAGGCAGAGAATGTCGAGAACTGCAAGGAGCGCTGCTCGGATGCGTTGGTTCTCGATTCTCGAATCCTTTTCGCGCACGTAGATTGCGATTTCAACTGACGACCGAAGGGTCTCAGTGGCAAGAGCGGCTCTGGGCGGGCAGGTGCAGATGTTCCGCCGCTTGTTTGAGTCGGAATATGTTGGAATTGTGTTCCGTTTTTCTCGCTTTCCCGAGCGGTTGACGAGCCGGCCTCTGCGTGCTCTTCTCGAAGCTCGTGCGTAGCAGATCAAGGAAGTGGACCTGAAGATTGAGGTGTTGGAACGTCGGTCGGCCTTGAGAATGGGAAGCCATCTGTGTGAGGGGCGCGCGTTATGGGGTCCGTCTTTTGCATTCCGACCAGTTGCGGTGTTTGAAGCTTCTGCTCTGTGAAGATTCTTAAATA